ACTTAAGTTTAGCCTTGAAAGCATTTGTTTCTTTGGAGATTATATTATTAAGTTGCGGTCTCTCATTATCAAAATATTTGTTGTTAATACTAGCGAAATGTGCACCTATTACATCCAGTTTATCCTGTAGAGTATCAATAATTGCGAGTCCGTTATTATCTGTTATAATGTTATTTTCATTTAATCCTGCTTTCTCTAGAATAGGCGAGTTTACGTCTACTTTTAAATTACTTATTTCCGCCATTTCTTTTTTTCTAAAGATTTTATTAATCTTAGGAAACATTTTAGCCGAGTCTTTCTTTGAGATATTTGTAATTTTCTTTTTCCAATATTCACTGATGGAAGAGGCAAATTGAATTTTAAGTTGTTCTTTTAAATTCATTAATTCTTTTTTCAGAGATTTCATTCTGTATGTATTTATCCTAGGCCATTTTTTATTGAGTCGATGTATTTGAGTAAGTATTTTATTTTTTTGTTTCTGTAGTTTAATTATCTTTGGGTTTAGATATGATTTTAATGAATCTATTTCTTTAATTTTAGGTACAGATTTTTCTACAGCCTCTAATATTGCGTTGTTGCAATCCAGTAAGTAATTATCAATTTCAGGTAAGGATAGATTTCTATTATTAGGTATTTCTATAGTGTGTAATTCTTGTAGTGTTTTTTCAAATTTGTTCCAGTTCGTTCGTCTGTAGTCAAATTTAACTCCTGGACTATCGAGATCTCTAATTAGGTCTTCATTGTCTTTAAAGGGGATCTTAAGAATGACAGCATTATGATCACTATCATAAGGAACGCTGGGGAGTTGGGTATTATCTTTCAAATCGTGATAAGCTAGTCTTGTGTCAATCATGACAATATCTAAAAAAGATTGTCCATTAGGATAGGAAGGATATTTGGTGCTTAAGAATTTAATTTTATACTTCATCGTGTTTTTTTCTAACCATTTGACTAGGGAAATTCCTCGCGCATTATTATTTCGGTTCTTCCAATCCGTATGTTTGGCGTTTAAATCACTAGCTAAAATATAGTAATTATCTAAACTATTTAGTTTAAGGGACATAAATAAATTGTTCAGTTCTGGGATAAATTCTTTTTGTCCACCACATTTGGCATATGCTGTAATTATAAATAAAGGGATGTTAGGTTTTAATTTACGTTTAATTATAGTATATTCCAGTAATCTTTGATTTTCTTTATTTATGGGCAGCGTTATTTTTTCAAATTTAATTGATTTTCTTATTAAAATAGCGGTACCTCCGCCTATATTTTTATCATTGCGATCGCTTCTTATAACATGATAGTTTTCGAATCTAAGGATATGCGCTTTGTTTAATTTGGTTTCGCTTAGCATAACCAGGTCAGGGTTTTGTCTATCTATCAAATTTAAGAGAGAAGCTCTTCTTTGATTTTTGATTATGGAATTTACGTTAACCGATATAATTTTCATTTTAGTTGTGTTATCAATCCTGTCGTGACCGTGTCTAATGTTATTATATTTTGTACTGTTCATTATCAGTATTCAAAATCTTTTCTAGTATTGTCGCTATCGTGTCAATTCTATTAGAATTGTTCTCAACTGTCTTTTTGAGTCCTTCTATACTTTTAATAACCTCAGTCATTGTAGGCTCATTTATTATATTATTCGAATTTGTTTTTAGAGCATCCGCGTAGCTAATATTTTTACGTATTAATGAATCGTTAACACGAGTGTGATTTTTAGCTTTATTATTATTATCTACGTTAATTTTTCTAATATTGATTAGGTTTAGAAATTTTTTTTTATTTTCAATTATTTTAGGGCAACCCCTATAAGAAGCTGGATGTCCATAGCTGTTGCAGTTCACACAGAAAAGTTGGGACCTATCAACTTGCTCACCTGTCGTGCGTTTACATTTTCCTGGTTCATGTTTATCTTCGCATTTTACACATCGGTATGGTAAATTACAATTCGTAGCAGCATGACCTATACGCTGACATTTTTTACATTGAATAACCTCTTTTCTTTTCAAGTTTTCCCAAGAGATAACTTGATGAAATAAATATTTTATCTTTCTTAAGTTATTAATCTCGCTATCCGGGGATAATTGTATAATAAACATAGGTAAGATTCTATTTTCATTTTTGGATTTACTAGTTGTAAACCTTGTGACTTTAATGAAATTAACATTTACTATATTTAATGCCTGTAACTCTTGAAAGACTTCTTTTTCCTGGTATGATTGTTCTAGACCTTTTAGGAGAATATTAATTGGTTTTTCAGATTTGTTAGTATAAGTATAGAATTTAGAGTTACATCTTGTTAATAAATCTATCGCAATTTTATGATTATCAGTATTATCTAAATATAAGGAGTGCTTATCGCTATTATTTCTTTTGATATAAAAATTATTCGCATTTTTAAATTTGTTTTTTTAGTAAAGAAACTGTGTCCTTAGCGTCTTGGTAGAATATATTAATTGGCGGTGGCTTGTTGTTTTTATTCTCTTTATTCCTCGGCGTTGGTTGCCTTTCCCTTGTGCTGTCGGTGGGGTTTTTTATTTGGGTTGTTGTTTCCTCTTTTTCCTTAGGATGTTTTTTCTTCTTATTTTTGTTAGTGAAACCGTCTTGTGCTTTTTGAGTATTCTTTCTCTTGAGGTAGTTTTCAAAGTCTTCATTTGGCTGGCATTCCATGGGTTCTTCTTGAAGGTCCTGTGGGTTTATAGGCTCTCCCAGGATTGCGAATCTATTTTGAGTTGTTGTGTTATCCATTATTTGTTGTTGACAGGTTGTTGCACGTGTATGATTTATGCTTTCCGCAAGTAATTTTTGTAATTTTTGTATTTCCGTCTTGAGATTCTCATTCTCGGCTCTCAGCTTATCCGTTACGTCTTTCGATACTTTCTTCTTGTTGGGAGAAACCATGGCTATCGTTTTTTGGCTATTCAAGATACGTAATTTATTGTTACGTGGATTTAGGTTAGGTATTGTCGTTATCTTGTTGCACTTGAGCGATTTAGCCTTAAGGGCTATAATTTTCCTTTTTAATTTTGACTCTCCCAGGGACAAAAGATCATCCATATCTATTCTTTTTATCTTATTAATCGTATTTTGGACTGCATTAGTGTGACTAGCGTCCTCAACATTTGAGGTTAACTTGTTTAGAACTTTTTCGTTTTCATTAGCGATGATAAGATTCCAGTCGTCGTTAATATTCACGACTTTCTTTTCACTTTTTATCGTCTCTGAGGACGAAATAACTACGTAATTAGTGGCAAATCACTACTAGTCTATTATATGAAGAGGCGTAAACAAACGCGCGATGTGTACTCGACGAGAATTCGACGAGGACTCGGTAGTCCACGACTGAGCGAATGAGCTACGCCGCCTTCTCGACAATGGGTCTAACGGGACCGGTATATACAGAACGGTGTAAACTTTAATCCGATTTTTCTCGAAAACGGCTGAGAGTTGGGTCGTATCCCTTTGCCAAAGTACTCTATTACTAGAGTACTTTAACATATATAAGCCTTTTCAAAATCGGTGAGTAACACTTCGCGCCCTCCCCTTGTTAGACAAATAAAAAATTATTTCTATAAATGCTGTTTAAATTGCAGACTATAAAATTATATTGACATCATCCTTATAATTTCATTAATCATCTCATTCACGATTTTCTATGTGTTTTATATATCGTGTTCGCAGAGGTGATCCGCAAGAACTCTGCGTGGTCTCGGGCGTAAGGTACGGGATTAGAGTGTCGAAGGTCCCCCACGATCATCGATCCCTGTTTTTTCCACTTTTTTTTAAATAAGTAACATTATTAATAAAATAAAGTAATAATAAAAGGCTCAATATGTATAAAACAATATAAATATTAACAGGACATAGAACCAGTATTACAACGAACAAATTTAATTACAATAATAATATTACAAATGTTTAGACTCCGATCGGGTCATTTTGAATGCAAAACAACTTTATCATGAAAACCCAGTCACATTGGTAAAATCTTAAAAAATATATAATAAAAATAATTATAACTTATCCTAATGTCGCTAGCATAATATCATTATAAAAAATTAATTGTAACATTTCCTAATAATTCAATTGTTCTTGAATTATTAGGAAATGTTACAATTAATTTTTTATGATGATATTATGCTAGCGACATTAGGATAAATATAATTGATAAGAACAAAAGGCTCTTTACTTCAATAAACTATAAATATAACAAAGGGCATAAGAAGAGACTAAATTACAAATTTTATGTTGAGAAACATAAAATATATTACATAATAAAAATCATTATATTCTAATCGATTAAAATTATTACATGTAAAGAGAGAGAGCCTATCGAAAGGGAGAAATATGTAATAATTTTAATCGATTAGAATATAATGATTTTTATTATAATAATATACTCTATGTTTCTCAACATAAAATTAGTAATTTAGACTCTTACATGCCCTTTATTATATTTAATATAATTATGACGAGAGAGAGAGGATGACACCAATATAATTTTATTTATTAATTTTACTTTATTAATTTAAAAAGTATTATAGCCCGTCGACATTTTTGTAGGATTTTCGACTTCAAATTATCTCAGATACACGTTCTAGAAGATAATGCGGTAGTTGCAGGACACCTTGTATGTATATATAATCGCCACACATAAACATATATGTCATTGACAGTGCGTGAGAAAACGGCATTTCGAGCCGTCTTACACTCAGATCAAGAATATAGCCAGATACTGAGCGCACACGTATATACATTACTATCATGCTGTCCTATGCATGTAGACAGATTTCATTGTGTGGAGGGTAAGGAGCGAACCGTCGCGTTGCGGACCGCCGCGACGCGCCGCGCAGTCGAAAACAGCGATTTTCATTTTGTTTAAACAATTGAAGTGCAACAAAACAGTTTCTACTCTCAGCTCAGTACGGAGCAAGGTCCAGACATCGTGAGACCATTCGTTCGTGAGACGTGGTATAAGTGGCACTACAGTTGGCGAGATGGAGAACAAATCCACACGAAAATGTAAGTAACGTACATTTGACTAATTTGTTATAACAATTTTAGAAGCCTATTCTGTAACTCTTAACGACTGTAATATAAATATTGAACTTTTATAATCGACGAATATGCAATTAGAATTTACACACTGTAAAAAAGACGGTATGTAAATTTTAATAATATATCCGTTGGAAGAAAATTGTAAGCTGCATTCCGTTGTTCATTGCGAGTGGAAAATCTGTAATATACGTAACATCAACTACAGATTTTCAATCCTCGCAGTAAAAAACGGACCGCAGCCATAATTGATTAATAACATAATTTTTGAAATATATTTATATTTGAAATATATTTATATTTATATTCATTTCAGATAAAAGTGAAGAAGGCACGCGCGCTACGCAAAAGTCGTTCCTGTCACCACCTGAGAAGGTGGTGACAAGGAAAGTGGCCAAGGAGCTGCTACTGACGTCGTCGCGTCAGGTTTCGGCAACCTCTACAAGACCAGCGGCGACGTCAGTAGCTCAAGCAACGACGTCGTCACCAACGGCAGCAACGACGTCGTCATTATTGGAAGCGACGACGCCGTATCCGGTACCTGCAAGGACGACGCGACCATCAGCGCGGACAACGATGCCACCAGCGCGGGCGACGACGTCGTCGCAAGAGAAATACCCGACGGCGCGAGAGAGACCGCAGGCACGGCCAAATAAGCCATGGCGAGGTGGAATGAATAAAGTGAGTACGACAGATTTTACATTGTATATAATGCGTCGTCTACAACACACAGAGTAAGTAAGAGTACAGAATTCACAGTCGATTATTCTTCTCACATTCAACTGTGATTGGTGAGTTTCTTACTCTCTAAATCTGAATCAGTGGATAGTCACTGATACCAGTGCCAAATATGCCACTAGTAATCAGTGAATTAAATGTGAAATCCCTCATCTAGCTAATATTTATATTATGTAATCTAACTAACCTTATTATAGTGCTTAAATTCAATGAATATGGGGTATTGGAAGATTGAAATTAACGTGTAAATATCAGTATTTTAATTATATAATGCTCAAACATTCTTCCTTTTTTAGTTAAACTGC